ATTAACAAATCAAGTATCATTTATTCCGAGTGTGTTCTTTTCAAGGCACTATAATTTGGAAGGGATTCTATGCAAATGGAACAGCTTCATTCATGTATTTTTTTTTATGTATGCATACTCCTGCTATTATAGGGTGCATATAAACTCTGGTTATACATTTTACCTATATAAATGTTTAAAAGTAACTAGAACTATGTCAAATACCCGCCAAATGGGATGTATCCAAAGGATATGAAACATAATTGCTTCAGACTATGTATTTCTGAATATTCCAGTACATTACCACAGGCATCTTCTTTTCACTCAGTTATACAATCTGAAATGCACAAAGTACAGGTGGTTAGGAAGATCCTAATTCCAAGTGTATTTCCCTGAATTAATTATGTGCCGTGTATCAACTCAATTTTCCCCTTTTTAAAATTTATCTTATGTCAAAATTAGAGGTTTGTCAAAATCAAAATTTTCAAAATAATTTATGCATACGCCATTTGTTATCAGAAAATTATACATTTTGCTCCTCAATCACTGTAACTCTTAATTACCTAACACCATCATTAGTATACACAAACAGAAATTAAATGCCCTTTCTCAACCATAAACACTAAGTTATAAGTCACACCCAGCAATTTTGTCAAACCAGAAGGAAGTGGTGATGGAGGTGTGTTATTGCACAGCTTTATTTGTTTTAGGGTGTTCATTTCCTCCTCTTCTATGTGTAATTGTAGGCTGAGTAATGTACAGGGTGGACTTTTTTTTTCAAGATGATGGACAATAGAAGAGTATAACACAAACACAGAAGCAGATTATTTATGTTGATAAATGAACATAATTAACATGTTTCCAAAAATGGTAACAAAATACACACTCAAAAAAATTGAGCAACTTTGTACGTCAATGCTTTCCATGTATGATTACATTAAATTTTACAATGGTGTCAATTATTAGGTTATTAGTTTATGTTTTACTTAAAAATTATTTCATGTGCATAAAATTTTGACTAATCAGAATTCTGTAGTCCTAGCACTTATTTATCATTGGCCCATAAATACACTTTTTATTTTTCATTTTACTTGCTATTTAGTCACCCATTAAAGATGTAGTAATTATCCACAGACTCACTAATGCAAATAAGAAATAGAACCTTAAAGATAATCTCATGTTTATCTGTTTGCATCCTTAACCCATATATATTCTCTTTCAGAAGTAATTATATACCTGAATCCCAAGTCAATCATTTTCTATGAGTAGAGTTATGATGCTATAATTTCAATTTGTATTTCTAAACATGTTCATAAATTCACCGTTAAATAAGGGCATTTCTTTTCTGCCTCTTATTGATATTATGAACAGTGTTTCCATAATTTTTCATTTCTAGGTACTGAATTGTACAAGTACAAGAGTTGCATTTGGTTACACAACTCAGCATGTACTTATAATATATTTGAATGTTTCATTTTAAGAATAAAACCAAATAATTTTCTCATTTGTTATATCTAGGTATGCTTCTAACAATGATGTAAAAGAAACCAGGTGTTTGTTCAGACCTCCCTGTACTTGATAGTCAGACTTTAATTGCTTGTTTGTCGAGTGGATAAAATATGGTACCTCATTATAGTTCAGATTTATGTTTCCTTGACTTTTATTCATATGTTTAGGAATCATGCATGCTTTATTTATATGAGATATTTATTCATGCACTTATTCATTTTTATTGAATTATATGTGTTTTTAAAAGAATTATATGTGCTCTTGCACTTGTAAGAATTTCAAAATTTTTTGTTGTTTCTGCATCACAAATTTGTGTCTGTATATAAGCAAAATTCTTTAGTTTTCTATAGTCCTATGTTTCATTTATTTTCAGCTGTGGTGCACTGTTTAGTATTCTTATTAAAGAGGCCCCTGAGAGCCAGCTGGCTCCTTTGGCCATGTAAAAACATGGTGAGAAAGTCCATTCTGTGAACCAGAGCGCTGCCCTTATCAGACACTGAATTTGCCAGCACCTTGACTTGTACTTCCTGTCCTCCAGAAGAGCAAGAAATAAATTTCTGCTGTTTATGAGCCATGCAATTTATCATGTTGTGCTATAACATTCCAAACAGACCAGGGTAGTTTGCTACTTCTCCAATATCTAAGATATGAATATTTTGTTGGTTTAAAAATGCCAGTTTTTCCAGTTTATCCATTCAGAAATAACTCTGACTATTATTGCTACTAATGAGGACATGCATGCTTACAGTGTTACATCACTGGGCTATTGTCACTTGGTCCTGCACTCCCCAGTTTATAGGCATTGTGTCCTGTCACCTTAAAAATCATCCTTCTTGGGTGGTTGGCTTTAAAAAATCTGGTGTGCGAGTAAAAAACAGGTACTGAGAGAAATTGCTTTACTCCCTTCTGATCTCAATGGTACGTGGAAGAGCTAAGTTATAGACTATGGTCTCCTTGAGTTCCAAGACTTGCATTATGCAATATATGCTACTGAAAATAGAAAATACAAGCAATAGACCATTTACCTTTCTTCTAAGTCTCAAGAAACCTATTTATCTATTTTTGTTTTGAATAGAAGATGTGCTTTTAATATTTTCTTCTATAAAACATTACTGCCATTTATATTATTTCTCTCTACCCTAAAGAAGCAAAATACATGGTTGATGCCTGAACATTGCACAACAGTAAAAGTGACTTTCAAGTTTGGGTTCACTTTTCTGAATTACAGAACAGATTTTAATAAGTGAGAAAAGTTTAAGAACTTATATATATATATATATATATATATATATATATATATATATATATATATTTTTTTTTTTTTTTTTTCCTTCTTCTTCTTCTTCTTGTGGTACTGGGCAGGGATGCCCTACCACTGAGTTACATACTTAGTTCTTTTTTATTTTTGTGACAAGTTCTATGTTGCTGTAGCTGGTCTTGAATTTGTGAGCTTCCTATTTAGCCTGCTGAGTTGCTGGAATATAGGTCCACCACTATGCCCAGCAAAAAGTCTTTTTAAAGGGAAATTTTACTAGCTCCTTCTTGATTAATGAATCTGCACATCAATGTATCACAGGAGAATAGTGGTATAACCTCTTATACCACTGTTAGAATATGAGTAGCTGTGACTGGGGCATTTGAGACCAATATGTAACCAAAAATGTCATTTCTGTTGGAAGGATACAGAAGTTTCAAGAAAGAGAATGCACCATAAATAGAGGAACAGAGAAGGCTCATGCAGGACCAAGACTTTCTTCTTCATGACATCTGCCATATGGACTGATCCCAGGTCCTAGAATCCAACATGTTTGGCTAAGGGAAATAGAAAGGGACATGATAGGTAGTATGTCATCAGGACATAAATACTACTGCTCCACCATCTCTACAATATATTACCCAGAAAGTAAAAGAGCTCTCCCTCATTTTACCTCAGACCACAGTGCTACTAGGTCCCCTAGGGGTTCTAGAGGCAGGGACACCCAAGAGAAAGCTTTCTAGCAGAAGTCATGGAACTAAAGAGAAAAATTGGACTTATAAATATGGGATGTGCCCAGAAATAGCAGATGGATTCAAAGGAGAAGAGAGTTGGCAGCCATCCCTTCTGCCCTGTGGACTACTCTGGTACCCTTCAGAACTGGTGTCTATACACATTTGAGATTCCCTACCCCCCCCCCCAGGGACTTCTAAGCACCATGGGCTGTAATGTGCAGAGGAAGTCAGTATCAAATCCAATAACGCATAGTTTTCTACAAGAAAATTATTACATTGGATGCACAGGCTACGAAGACCTAGAGAAACTAGGGGATAATATCTTTTCCTTTTACCAACCCCTTTTCTCAAGAAATTTGGCCTTACTTATCTGGAAAAGTGTCTTACTGCCTTATTGTAAATATTATTATTACATAATGTAATAATGGGTCAATAATATGACAAATGTCTTAGCCACATGTGCCAATAGGGGGCTGATCTAAATATATCAGAAGGTGCAATTAGGATATTGCATTAATTCTGAGCATTTTCATTGCATCTTGATTCACCCCAGAGTACTTAAAAGGATGATTTTTATCTCAATTATCTAAAGCAACCAATAGAAAAGATAGTTGAAAAAAGAAAACTAAAAAGAAAGTACATCACAAAATAACACGTAAGAATTAATAGCTAACTGTAAAACTCCATCAGAAATAATTCCCACAATAAATGCATTAGGCAGAGGGAAGATAAATAAAACCAACAAACATCTTAGAAATTCCATACAAACATTTAATCATCACAAATAAGCCATAGAAGTAGTTCCTAGAGGAGTGCTGCAGGAAAAATATGTTCCTCACATGGATCCATTGATCTTCAATAGATTTTCAGGACTAAAATATTTGGTGTGGGACTGGCTGCTGGAGCCATAATTCTATTGAAACACAGCAGGGAGATCACTCAAACAATTTTCATTCATCCTTTAAGCTATGCTTCCTGAAATAGAATTATACATTTACTTATACCCTGTAGATTTTTAGTTTCATCCTCATTTTAAAAAAAAAATAGCATTGCCATAATTTAGGAAATATCATCCCTACAAATATATCTTGTTACCATTAACACACTTAACAGAATTGATCCATTGTCAAATAGGAAAACATTCATCACCTAGAATGTGGTGTTATTCTGCTATCATATTTTTCAGAGAAACTTCAGAAGAAGGGGAGGGGTTAAATTAACTGGTACATCTGCTAATGTGTTTTTCTTTTATAAGCTTTAAAATCTGCTATGATATAATAACTATAGCAGGATATTAATGCAGGAATAGATTTCATCTATGCCTACAATAAGCTTGTAACATTGTATTAGAGTTCTCAGAGTAACAGAACCAATATAGTGAATATATATGTGTATATACATTTATACACATATATATTCAAATATATAGGGAATTTACATGTAATTCCATATATATGTACTTGTGTGTATATATATAGAGAGATGTAATATTATCACAGTGAATTTCATTACATTTTCATTAGATGGACTTAAGGATCAGAGGTGGGATAGTCCCACAGTGGCCATCTTCAGGCAAGATCCAGGGAAACCAGTAGCTGCTCAGTCCATGAAGCTGAAGCCCCAGGATGAGAGAAACCAATGATGCAGCTGTGCCTGGAGCTGAAAGCCTGGAAGCTCTCTGGGGAGGTGCTAGTGTCGGTCCATGTTCAAAGGATGAAAAATGTGGAGGCTGATGATTGTGACACCATGGTAGCAGCAAAGACACAAGAAGAGTCAAAGAACCAATCAAGCATGCTTGTGAGCATCCTCCTTCTTCCCCTTTTAACTCCATCTGGGCCCAGCCTGCTGGATGGTGCCACCCACATTCAGAGCAGGTCCTGCCCCCTCGGTTCACTGGATACATGCCAATCATCTCTGCAGACACCCTCACAGATGCACCCAGAAGTGGGCTTTAGCAGTTTCCTAGGTGTCTCTCAATCCAGTCAAGTTGACAGCCATAATTAAGCACAACACTTACTTGAGAAGACAGCACATGAAGAAAAACAACATGTGAAAGTGGATAATAAATATAAAAGAGCTGCCATATTTTGATATTAAGGAGAAACAAGGGGAAAAATTGCTAAGAGTCATGCAAGATAAGTCCCTAGAGGTTTGAAGAAATGAATAAAGTGCCTGGGCAATTATGCTTTCTTTAAACTAGTCTTTCAGTGACTATCAACATGTTTGCAGTAAGAGCCATTCTGAGAGGTAGCAGGTGTCTACTCTCAGGTACGTGTGTTCTGTGTGGTCAAATCTTGTAATTGTTCAAACATCCGTGCTTTGGGTGAGCGAGAAAGAGTGTAAAATTTATATTTATAGGACATTCAAATAAGGTGATGGATTTGGAATCTCTTTATAAATATGCTTTTCAAACCTGTGTTGCTATTATTATTTTTGAAATTTCAATACTAAAAATTTTAATCATTAATAATACTCATATATACAATATCTTTCAAGCACCTGATATTGTTCAATTTTTATCTAATCTTTTTTTTTCATAGACCTATACTAATGCCTTTTAAAACATTTTTATTTTTGGTAATTTAGCAGGATATTTTCCACTAAATTTTAGATGTACATGGTATGTGTGCATATATGTGTGCATTTTAATACTTCTCATCACTGAAATAATTAATATTAGTTAAATGGCTACCTGTTTACCTCAGTTGCCTATTGATACATGTTTGAACTACATCACTGGAGTTGTGTCCTTGGATTTAAAGTTTAGCATGATGTCTTGCCTACTGTTGTATACCAGTTGGCTACTTGCTGGCCATTAGATAGTGACCTAACAAGAACCTGAAAAGGATTAGCAGAATTTGCTTTTTACAGCACACATAAATTATGGTGCTTCCTGTCTCTAAAATGTGCTTTTATCAACTGCTTGTCATTTCAAATTTCTCTTTAACATCTACCTAGAATGCCACTAATATTAATCCTGGATCAACTTACCTAAGATTTTGAGCAGGAAACCCAACAGCACAAAATGAATTTTACCCTGATTCCCTATTCTTTCTAAAATCTAATTCATGATATATAATATGTAGTTTAATAATAGTAGACAATAATTTTCTCATGTTCAAATTTTGGTTAACTGTAAAAAGTAATTTTTGAATAAAGTATGATAAACAAAGTATGATTGGAAAACAATGTTTTATAAATATACTAAACTCAGAAAAGACTGCCAACCCATTTCTATCTCTTTCCATCTTAAAATGATAAAATAAGAGGGACCAGGACAGGGGTGGTAGCACATGTCTGTAATCCCAGTGACTTGGGAGGCTGAGACAGGAAGATCGCAGTTCAAAGCCAGCCTCAGCAAACTTAATGAGACACGCATCTCAAAAAAAAAAAAAAAGAAAAGAAAAAAAAAGAAAGTGCTAGGGATGTGGCTCAGTGGTCTCACTGATACAAAAAATGAAAAAAAAAAGAATCAACTCATATATGAGAAATCATATAGTTTTGCTTTATAATGACTAAATCTATCTAATTGGAAGAAAGCGAGGTATTTTTTCTCCAACATTTTAATTAATGAAAAATATATTAATATTTTCAGTGAGATGGTGCAAGATTAGGAACAGTGCTAAGTGAGAAGGCTGAGGGGGTTGTTATTACATACAGAAATGTGACCATTATTTAAAAAAAAATTGCATTTTTTTTTCATACCAAGGATTGAATGCAGGGGCATATAACCACTTAGCCACATCCCCAGCCCTTTTTACTCTTTATTCTGAGATAGTGTCTCACTAAATTGCTGAGGCTGGCTTTGAACTTGTGATCCTCCTGCCTCAGTTTACCAGACTGCTGGGATTACAAACTTCCACTATCATGCCCGACTGTGTTTTCTTGACTAAACAAAATTCTACCTATATTATTGTCCGTGCACTAAGTAACTTCTCTAGGATTTGCTTTTGTGACTTTATACAAAGTATAATGGCTATTTGCACAACATGGGTATTCAAGATATAACTTAACAGATGATGAAAGAAAATATGTTAAGTGGTTTTTAGGAAAGTGATAAGGAAAACAAACATTAGGAGCCCAAATAAATAAATGCGTGTTTTGTCAGCTTTCTTTTAATGTGACAAAATATCTGAGAAAAACAGCTCAGTGTCTTAAGGTTTCATAGTTCACCCTATTGTCAGCTGAGTTCCTTGTTTTGGGACCTGGGTAAGAAAGAGAGAGAGAAAGGAGAGGAGAGGGAGGGTCTGAGGACAGGATGAACCCTTCCAGGGCTATTCCCTGCCTTTTATAGCTTTCACCCTTTCATGATAGTCCATTCCGTTCAGTCATGAACCCATTTTCCAAAAGCCCCACCTTTGAGCAAAGCTATATTGGAGAGCAAGCCTTCAACATGAGCCTTTGGGCAACATTGCAGATCCAAACCATAACACTGCATTTCATTTGCAAAAGGTCCTCTTCTTTCCAAGTAGAAATAATAAAAATGTACTGTGTTGTTGAAGTTGTCCTTCTTATATACTCGTTCTATATTTGTCTTTGAACATCTGTATTCATATGTGTTTGTGGATATAAAAGGGCATGTTAAAATATGAGATTATATTTTAGTAAAGTCACAGGAATGTATTGGTTCTTTGTCATCACATAATATAGACTGGTCCTGAATCCAGTAAATAACACAGCAAACACTTGGCATACTTGATCTCTAAAATATATGAGAACAAAATAATGGAATTGAAAAGAAACCCTTTCTAAGGCTGCACTTAGTCACAGTGTCATCTCGATATCCCTGAACACAGAGTTCCAAAAAGGAACCAGAGGCTTCAATTAGAATTCTGTCAAGTGTCGGGGAAGAAATATAAACACTTTATTATATCCCTCAAGTCCTTTGAGAGCTGAGCTCTTTCCTGTCTTCCTCACCATTGCCCCTCTCACCTGAGCTCAGTGACAGCCTAGAATAGGCTGTAAATAAATATTCCTTGAAAAGTGAATGAGTTATTGTAGACTTGCCTCTCGGCCTCTGACTGAGGTCAGATGGGGACAGAAGAGAATTTTTAAAGTGCCTGGGCATCTGTTAAATATTCTCCAACATGGCAAGCAGCAGATTGAGCACTGATACTGTACTTTATCAATAATTAAGTTCTAATAGTGTGTAGGAAAACCACGTGTCCTAATTTGGCCTCACCTGCCCAATGCTTTCATAAATCTCACTGACTTTCTACACTTTTACTGGTAGGAACCTTCTTGCCACCTGGGAGATTCTTTCTCTGGAAGCCTCTCACTTCCTTTTCTTTAAAACTCCCTTCTTTACAATGTCATATCAATTGAGAACACTCTCCTGACATTTGCAAAAGGCCAACAAATTAATATTTATATAATTTCTGCTAGTGTATCAATGGCACTACAGTGTAAATATTAGTAGCTATAATGAAATTATATATGCAATTATACTTTAAAAGGAGAATGTATATAACTGAAATAAAATGAATATAATGTGATTAAACAGTTGAATTTCATCTATCTTTTAATCACAGTTTTTTGTTTCCACTGAGAATCCAACCACCCTGCATGCCATCACCAAACCTCAGAGCTGTGTTGATTCTACAGGGGAGCACACAGCTGCCCAGAAGTGCACAGACTGCACTGGTGGCTTCTTATGCTATAGAAATAAGCTATATCTTTGTATATCCCACCCATTACTGTATGAGTAATATTTAGTGTAAATAATATTTACGCTAGTGAATAGTATGAATTTTAACAGCACTGTTTCAAAATATAATTTCTTTCTCTTTTGCTTAACCCTGGAATCCCAAAACTTGGAGGGCTGCACAAATACAGCACCTTAAGTTACTTATTCTGCCTTGTGGTAGATCAAAATTTTGATATGTAAGTGGTAAAGCAGCTCTCCAAACTCTTTCTGATGTAAACAACTAGACCGTCCCAGAGAAAAATTCAGGAATTTAGGAAAAACAGATTACTTGTATGGTAATACTAAATGAAATGATGAGTCTGTATTTTCCTAAAAAAACCATCTGCTAACACTCCAGCTTATTTACTTAAAATCCAATTTATATTTTCACATGTATGCATGCTGTTTCAAGTAAGAGTAAAAGGTGAGGGAGAAAGCAGATGTCAGTAGATGTCACTTGGAAGGTGATACATGTTGGAATAGAATCTGTGTTGATGAACCTCCCCATGGGCGATGGAAAATGAAATTCCAAAAATCTAGGAAAGAGAATTCTTTATTCATTCCTTGTCTTTTTATGTCTTCCAATTTTTGACTCAAATAAAAGATAACAAATAATTATAAATTACTAATATATTGATATTTGTGATTCTGAATATATCTTATAAAATAGAAAGTATATGCATTTTAACTGGATTCCTATGCTCCATGCATCCCAATATGTGGGGAAGAACAACCACTTTTCTATTGCAACTTTGACCCTGAGAGAGAGCATATGCATCTTGATTCCAATTATCAGATTCTGGCAAACTTTGGTCCTTTAAAATATCCAATACCATGAGCTCTTTTTTTCTTATAAGGTCATTATCTTTACATCAGTTTCCCTCAAACAGTGCTTCTTCATAAGAATGGATCTACTCCACATACATGTAGTCAACTGCTTGGGTCAGTTACTGTTGATACCTTCATTTGAACAGTGAAGGGACCAAAACTCAGGCACATCAACTTGCCTTTGGTGCACAAATAATGGAAGTGGATCTGGGATGTAATACACATCTTCTCAGCCTTTTCTCTTCCCACAAAAAATATGCACCCTAAACTTACCAAGCCCTCAACTTTCTCATATGTAGTTAATGAGAATCACATTCATGAAGGCAAAAGAATTTTAAAACTTAAATATACATAAACTCATAAACCCTTTACCTGAAAACTAGATAAAGCCATTTAGGGCAATTTACCCTTCAGTGTTTTGGGAATGGATAAAAATTCTAAAAAGATATTGAATAATCAATTTCCAATTAATATCAATTGAGTGATGGCTGCATCTATTTTTCACAATCTTCTTATTAATAACACTATCAACAGCTGTGTCTATTGTTAGGCACTAAATGCAAACCAGAAGTGAGCTACAATTTTACAAATACTTGTAAGAGCATTATATCTCACAATATGCAATCTCTGGAATTTTTTTCTTCTGTACTTTTTACTCCCTGTTATGTGCCAAGATATTAAGAAGGGAAAATTTTTTTAAAAAACTTAAATTTCCAAACTTAATAGTGCTATTATTTTCCTTATATAAAACATGGAATATTAGAGAAATAGGAAAGAAAGCAATATTTAACCAGTAAATATTTTCAGAAATGGAATGAACAGATGGAGGCATTGCAAGAAAAAAATATTTATATTAAATTGTATGAAAACATTTCTATATAGCCAAATGTCCACACAAATAAAAATAAACAAAACAAATAAAAAATTTCAAAATATCTAATCAACCAATAAATGTCTTTGATATTGTGATGTACCCCAAAGTGTGAACCTTAAACTTTATAGAAAAATGTACAAATTAG